AGGAGGCCACGGTGGGTGAATCACTTGAAGTCAGGAGTTCAAGACCAGCCTGGCCAACATGGCAAAACCCCATCTCTACTAAAAATACAAAACTTAGCCAGGTGTGGTGGCAGATGTCTGTAATCCCAGCTACTACTCAAGAGGCTGAGGTGGGAGAATCACTTGAACCCAGGAGGTGGAGGTGCACCACTGCACTCCAGCCTGGGCAACAGAGAGAGACTCCACTGCAAATAAATAAATAGATAGATAGATAGATAGATAGATAGATAAATGCTATTATGACCAATGATATTGGTATAGCTAATGACATGAAAATGTTCAAAATATTTTGTAAGTTGAAAGACAATAGGTTAACAATAGCATATTGTATTAAGCCATTTTATAAAATATATCTGTGTCAGCATAGAAATAAAATAATAAACTAACATTTAGTAAGTGCATATTATATACCAGGCACTGTTAAGCATTTTACATATACTGATTCATTTATGCTTATAATAAACCTATGCAGTCATTCTATTATTTTCCCCACTTTAAGAGGAGATTTAAAATAAGAGAAATTAAAGAATCTTCCCAAGGTCACACAGCAAATAAGTGGCTGAGGCTTGGAAGAACATACATAAAAATGTTAATAGGCTAAGCACAGTGGCTCACACCTGTAATCCCAGCACTTTGGGAGGCCAAGGTGGGCAGATCACCTGAGGTCAGGAGTTGGAGACCAGCCTGGATAACATAGGAAAACCTCATCTCTAATAAAAGTACAAAAATTAGTTGGGTGTGGCGGTTCAGGCCTGTAAATCCTAGCTACTTGGGAGGTTGAGGCAGAAGAATCACTTGAACTGGAAGAGTGGAGGTTGCAGTGAGTCAAGATTGCACCACTGCACTCCAGCCTGGGTGACAGAATGAGACTCTGTCTAAAAAAATTTAAATAAAAAGAAAAAAGCTACTAGTGTTTATTTCTGAGTGATGAAATTATAGATGATTTTTTTGTTTAGTTTGTTTTACATTATCCATATTTTCAGTTTTTCTACAAGGGACATATATTATTTGTGAAACAAAGAAATAGAGGGTCTTTTAAAGATGAAAGCAAAATACTTAATTAGGAAACAAAAAATAAGTTAAAAGAAAGAATCTGAGAGCTATTTCTCTAAAAAATATAGATAAGCCTAACAATTTTGAGAACAAAAGAGAAATATTTAAACAAGTAAATATGCAAATTAAATGAGAAATGGACTAAAACAAGTAAAATACATATTTTAATTAAAATATTGTAAATATCATTAGATCTATTTAAATGTCAAATAAACTAATAATTATCTGAAAATAAAGAAAATGGACTCTAACAAATTTATGAAAACCTGAATTAAGGTTTGAAAATGTTAACGATTTACCTTCTTCCAAAGGCTCTGGGTCCAGGTAGTTTTATAAAGTATTTATTTTAAACTTCCAAAGAATAGTAACCCCCATATCTGAAAGTCTACTTAATTTATTCAATAAATATAGCAAAAACCTGACACTAGAATCTGATAATTGCAATATAAGAAAGAAACTTACAATAGTCCCGGTAATTTACAGAGCATATGTTCCAAGGCTCTTTGTGGCTGCCTGAAACTGCAGATAATAGTGAGCCCTACAAATACTACATTTCCTCCCATATATACAGACCTATGATAAAGTTTGGTTTATAAATTAGGCACAGTAAGAGATTAACCACAATAACAAAAACTAAAATAAAACACGTATAACAATATACTATAATAAAGATCATACAAATGGGTGTTCTTGCTCACTCTTTCTCTTGTTCTCTCTCAAAATATCTTATTATACTGTACTATGAATAACTGAAACTGCAGAAGACAAAACCATGGATAAGAGGGACCCCTGTACAACCAATCACATTTACAGAAGAGGATGTAAGTATCCAATATAAAATATGAACAAAATTTAGTGAAAAATCAAAAGAACAACAATGACCTGGTTAGATGTATTCCTAAAATAAATGTTGGTTTAATATTAGTACACCTATTAATAAAATATAGCTCTATGCATATTAATATATAAAAAAGGAAAAGCATCATATATAATTATACAAAAGCATTTGCTAAAGTCAACTTCCATTCCTGGTTTAAAAAACTTTAAGAGAGCTAGAAATAATAGAATGGCTCTGTAATGTACTAAAGAATACCACTCTAAAACAAGTTGTCAGCACTGATACACCAAACTCTCTAGTGACTAGAGAGATTCCTATTAAAATCAAGAGGAAAACAAGAATTACTAGAAATACCCGTCAAATAAAAGATTCAGACCTTTCCAAAACCACATCTTCACCTGTTTGCCTCCTTGACTTTCTCCTATTCAGGGCTCAGACAAGAGTGAAGCAAGCGAGGCCCCTAAAGGACAGAACTGAAGGACATACTCACTTTTGGGGTTATGAAAGTTCAAGGTTGACAGTTGTGTGACCCTGACAGTGAGCACTTCCTTCCCTTAAAAAAATCTCACTTGTCTCACCCTAGTTCCAGCCCTGCACATAATCCTTCTCTTTTGCAAACCCCTTGGCGTTGCTCTAGACCGGCGCAGGCGCAGGCGTAGGCGTAGGCTGACAAGATGGCGGCGGCTGGGGCTGGCCGTCTGAGATGGGCGGTGTCGGCCCTGCTGCTCCGGAGCCCCCGCCTGCCTGCTCCGGAGCTGTCGGTCTGGCCCGGCTCTATCACAAGAAGGTTGTTGATCATTATGAAAATCCTAGAAACGTGGGGTCCCTTGACAAGACATCTAAAAATGGTGGAACTGGATTGGTCGGGGCTCCAGCGTGTGGTGATGTAATGAAATTACAGATTCAAGTGGATGAAAAGGGGAAGATTGTGGATGCTAGGTTTAAAACATTTGGCTGTGGTTCTGCAGTTGCCTCCAGCTCATTAGCCACTGAACGGGTGAAAGGAAAGACGGTGGAGAAAGCCTTGACTATCAAAAATACAGATATCGCCAAGGAGCTCTGCCTTCCTCCCGTAAAACTGCACTGCTCCATGCTGGCTGAAGATGCAATCAAGGCCGCCCTGGCTGATTACAAATTGAAACAAGAACCCAAATAAGGAGAAACAGAGAAGAAATGAGCCCTCCCTGGGTGAAGCCTCCAGCAGGCTACACCAGCTGTTTCCCACCTGCTGTGCAATCACCTTAGATGTTCAGAAGCTGCTCCCTCTACACTGAAGAGCTATGAGATACGCACAATACTTTCTGTTCATGTTATGACTTATACAAGCAAAATACACAGTTTCATTGTTCTGAATCCATGGTTTCTTTCAGCCCACTCTTAATGGCCTTAACCTAGTTAATGTATATTTTGAATTGTGTGTTGGCCTCAGAACTGAAATTGATAATGAAGTCTCAAGTTTTGATAGCCCATGAAGTGCATAAATGTCTTAATTCTACCTGAATTGATTTGGGGGGAAATTACCAGTAGAATGCCTTGTTCTGATTATTTGATAGAACCAATTGTACATAAAACAGATCTGCATATATATATATAATAAAATAACGGAAGATGATGGTGTTCTCTAGTATAAAAAAAAAAAACAAAACTAAACTTTAGTTTCTCCTTACAAACTAAAGTCAGCCATTTGTAGACAGACAGCCAGTCTTTAGATTTGTAGATGTTTCAAGAAGAAATTAAACAGCAGTCCCCTATGGTTCATGTGTTTCTGAATTTTCCAACTTCTCTCACCAACTAAATCGTATTGAAGCCTTCCCACCTCAACTGCTCGCTTTCCAAAGAAATGAACTTAACGAATTCTCTATAGGTAATCCTCAAAGACCAGACCCCTTTATGCTCACAACATATGTGTAAGTTAGTAGTTGGGAAATCAGTTTTAATATATATCTTACAATATATATTATTTTAGGATTTTAGATAAAACCTTAATTTTAATAATCTACTGTCAATTAATTGTTCTCTTTAGTTCAAAGACTTTAAAGAGTAAAATAAGTGGCTGGGTTCAGTGGCTCATGCCTATAACCCCAGCACTTTGAGAGGCTGAGGCGGGCAGATCACCTGAGGTTAAGCGTTAGAAACCAGCCTAGCCAACACGGCAAAACCCATCTCTACTAAAAATATAAAAATTAGCCAGACATAGTGGCAGATGGCTGTAATTCCAGCTACTCAGAAGCCTGAGGCAAAAGAATTGCTTGAACCCCAGAAGCAGAAGTCACAGTGAGCTAAGATTGTGCCACTACACTCCAGCTTGCTTGGGAGACAGGAGACTCCATCTCAAAAAAAAAAAAAAAAAAAAGTAAAATAAGGTAATATATGATATATGTACAAAATGTTTTAAGAGTGAGACTATTCTCTAAATGCTATTATTAATTAATATTTCTTTTTTATCAAAATGTGCTACATGCATATGGTCATTTACATGTCATTAGAGTGGGGTCTATCAGAGGAGGAAAAAACTATTTACAAAGTAACATGAAAACATATAGAACTTGGAAAACCTGCCTGAATACTATTATGATGCCTTTACCATGCATAATTCTACAGCTCCAGTATCCTAAATCTATGTCCTATCTTCCTATGTGTTTAAACAGATTAAAACTGACAGTGAACAGATGCTTTTAATGTGTTTCATGGTATTTTCTCTTCTCGGAGAGGCAAGTTCTTGCTAGGGAACATATTTCTCAAATGCATCTGAAGCTTATATTTAATGTTGCATCTCTAGAATTGTTTTACACATAAATTCATCTCATTATCAAATAATTTTTCTGAAACTATTTTGTATAGGACCAAGATACTACACACATAAATAAACTGCAGTGAAGAATACAAAATTTTAAAACTATAATAATAATACACTAAGGTAGATAAAATCATAAATATATATATATATTCAATAAATGCCTGCTTAAATATCACTTATATTTAGAAAGTATTTCTAAGTATGGCATTGATCAACATACATTGACTCACCTTTCCAAAGTTTTCCCTAGTCACGGATGATTGTCCTACTTACCTAATTGCATCATTGGTCTCTGACACGACTCTCAGATACTCTTTGAAATAATAATAATTAAAGATGTATTTCCGAACCCTGTAGCCCCTCCATCGTCTCTGAATCTATTAAAGTAAATAAAAAGATAAAATATGTCATTAAATATTTTTATTAAAAAATGTAATAGCACTTAAAAATTAAGGTAATTATGGCTGATAATTACTATCAAATAAAGTCTTAGGCTTTTCCATTAATATAACAGTATATTAGTTATAAATATAAGTTCTGCTCATAAATTTATTATGAAATATTATAAAATAAACATAATTTTAGATTATTATAATTTATTTTAAATTATAATTATTTCACAGAATACTAAACTATTAAAAGATTTGTTAAAATTTGCTTTACAAATTCCTACCATTTCCACTTCCTGGGCAAACGGATTTTTTCTTTCTTTTCATAACCAACTGACTTTAAGATTTTATTTGGTCTCATTGAAAAACACTTTTAGTTTTTGTATTTGGTCTCATTAATGGGCTTCTTAAATTCAGTGGTATCAAAATATTTAAAGAAATTCTTATATCTCAATTGTGACATTTTAATCCCTCCTTAACAATAACAATAGATAACATTTATTGATTTCATATGTGCCAGGCACTAATCTAAGGGTTTTTGCTTATATTTATATATTTAATCTTTAGAATACTCCTAACCTCATTTACAGATGTGAAAACAGTTAAAAAATAGAGGTTACACAGTTTTTATATAAATATACGGCTATCAGAATGAATCCAGGAATTAAATTAGGGCTTCAGAGAGCCTATTCTCATAACCACTGCAATACAGAATTGGGAACAAAGAGAACTGTGATTTTCAAAAAAGAACATTTTTATTGAAATAATCTGCTTCTTATATCTTTTACTTCAATGCTGACATTCAAATAGTTTTATTTATTGTAGAACATACAATCAAAGTAGGGTTTTTGTATTGTTCGATGAGAGGAATGTTAGAGGTCTGAGAGACCATACCTATGTCAGATTCTAGATATGTTATACAACCCCATTAACAATGAGAATCAGTCACTCTTCTTGAATCCTATCTTTGCTAATATAAACATTTTTGCTATATTTTCTAATATCACTATATGAAAAATTCAAACAAAATAATATGATCTTAATTTGACAGGAAAAAAATACCAGAGGTTATTTAAATACAGAAAAAGGAAATACCACATATCGAAAAATATTAACAAAATTTTGTGTAAAGATTTACCAACCTTTCCTAAAACTTTTCAAAAGTTTAAATATCTATATGAATGATTCCTTCTCCTCCTCATCCTCTTCTGCCTCTTCCTCCACCTCCTCCTCCTGGCAGCAATTCACATTTTTTCTCTCTTGGATTTTTTGCATAAAACATAATAAGATTCACTGATTGTTTCCTCCTCCTCTTCCTCACAGCAATTCACAATTTTTCTAGCTTGCCTTTTATTTTTTAAACATAATAAGATTGACTGATTGTTTCCTCCTCCTCCTCCACCTACTCTTCCTCCTTCGGTCAGCAATTAGAAATTTTTGTAGCTTGGATTTTATTCTTTAAACATAATAAGATTGACTGATTGTTTCCTCCTCCTCCTCCTCCTTTTTGCAGCAATTGACAATTTTTGTAACTTGGATTTTATTCTTTAAACATAGTAAGATTGACTGATTTTTTCCTCCTCCTCCTCCTCCTCCTCCTTCTCTTCGTCCTCCTTATCCTCTCAGAAATTCACATTTTTTTACTTGGATTTTATTCTTTAAACATAATAAGATTGACTGATTATTTTCTCATCCTCCTCATCCTCATCCTCCTCCTCCTCCTCATCCTCCACACCTCCTCCTTGCAGCAATTCACTATTTTTCTTCCTTAGATTTTATTTTTTCAACATAATAAGATTGACTGATTGTTTTCTCCTCTTTCTCCTCCTCCTCCTCCTCCACCTCTTCCTCCTCCTGGAAGCAACTCATAATTTTTCTAGCTTGGATTTTATCCTTGAAACATAATAAAATTGACTGATTGTTTCCTGCTGCTGCTCCTCCTCCTCCTCCTCTTCCTCCTCCTCGTAGCAATTCCCAATTTCTCTAGTTTGGATTTTATTCTTTAAACATAATAAGATTGACTGATTGTTTCTCCTCCTCCTCCTCCTCCTCCTCCTCCTCCTCCTCTCCCTCCTCATAGTAATTCACAATTTTTCTAGTTTGGATTTTATTCTTTAAGCAGAATAAGATTGAGTGATTTTTCCTCCTCCTCCTCCTCCTCATCCTCCTCCTCTGGGCAGGAATTCTCAATTTTTCTAGCTTGGATTTTGTTCTTTAAACATAATAAGATTGACTGATTTTTCCTCCTCCTCCCCCTCCTCTTCCTCCCCCTCCCCCTCCTCCTCATCCTCCTCCTTCTCCTCCTCCTCCTCCTTCTCCTCCTCCTCCTCCTCCTCCTTCCCCTGGCAGCAACAATTCTCAATTTTTCTAGCTTCATTTTATTCTTTCTTTCTTTTTTGTTTTTTGAAACGGAGTCTTAAAGGAAATACATCATCAGCAATAGAAGTGATTCAAGTTATATAGGAAAATATTACGATATCAGATAGTGTTAAGGGAGGGTCTATCTATCACATGAAAGTATCATTTAATTATAAATAAAGTAAGATTAGGAGTGCCAGAAAACCCAAAAGCTGCATGCTGGCCTAATGAGAAAAGGAAGAATGATCGGGGTTTATGATTTGGTAATATCAGAGAAGTGAATATTCCCATTTCTGAGAAAGAGATGTTAAAGGAAAGAAACTGAAATTGGCTGAAAGATTTGTGTTCAAAGAAGAAGAGCTTCCTGTAATTATATTTTTAAAAATCCAACAACCTGGGCTCTTTCTTCACCAAACCCAGCAATTACTGAAAACAGCACCAACCATATCTAGAGAAACCACAACTGGTATGCTTTCAGAAAACATCCGGATGTCCTGACTCCCTACACATCTCTCCAAAGGCAGGCTAAAATTCCTCTCCAAGATAATTCCTTTTATTCAAAATTGGACATTAAAGAATGTAATAAGTAAGTGATGGTTAAGGTAACAAATTAAAACTCATCCACACTGAAGTATAATTAATCAATCTTTAAGTGGCTTTCCCAGAGATGAGTGGTAAAAAGAGCTGGAGGAAACAGCATTTGAGTGGGCGAAGAAGCTGCCATCAGTGAAATGAAGGATCTAAAATTTATTGTGCTCCATGAATGTGCCAGGTATTATGCTAACTGCTTTTATTCTCACAATATCCTTGTGAATAGGGCATGATCTCCATGTTAAAAATGAAGAAACTGAGGTAAAGTAATTTGCTAAGGGTCACATAAGCAGTAAAACAGTAAATGGAAAGTCAGGATACAAACCCAGGTTTCTCTCACTCCAAAGCCCACACACTCTTTCTACTAAAACATCTTATATGTATATTGTAGAAAAAGAGAAAGTAGTTTCAAATATCGTATTTTCTAATAGGAAGTCTAGTTTAGCCAATAGCTAATTGATATTGTAAAATACAACATATATGAGATTCTACTATATTTTCTATTACAGAAATGAATGACATCTTAAATTTTGCCTATTCTGTTAGTATTCCAGTACTACTATATACACTTTAAATTTTTTAAAATGTACTTTCAAGAGGCAAGATAATTTTTTATAACATTTATTAATTTCAAGGTGAATGGGTTACTACTTTAGAAAAAAAAAATGACTGTATTCATGTCCTTCAAAGTAATTAGCAACTTTCAAAAGTGATTGGTGTAAAACAATTACTGTTATTGATCGGCTCTGACTAGATAATTTTAAACAAAGTCATTGTGTGCTCAGCAGATTACAGCTTGTTAACAGGCAAGTTCTAAATGACCTCTTAAGCTAGTCAAATCAATGAGGCGTATTCCTCATTAAGTAACATCAAAATGTAAGTAGTCTTATAAATAATGTTTATTTTAAGCACTAAAACAAATGGCAAAACCTTGATATATTAAAAATCATCTGCCATAGAAAAGATATTCCCTCCATTGGGTTTACTTTTATTCCTGAAAATCCATAGTAACCTTAATGCCACTAAAAGAGAGAAAAAATGTTTCCTCTCTTAACATGAAAAATGAAGATATGAGGCCAAGAGTAGTGGCTCATACCTGTAATCCCCGAGCTTTGGACAGTGTAGGCAGGCAGATCACAAGGTCAGGAGTTCGAGACCAGCCTGGCCAATATAGTGAAATCCCATCTCTACAAAAAATAAAAAAAATTAGCCAGGCATATGGTAGCTGCCTGTAATCCCAGCTACTTGGGAGGCTGAGGCAGGAGAATCACTTGAACCTGGAAGGTGGAGGTTGCAGTGTGTTGAGATTATACCACTGCCCTCCAGCTTGGGCATGGAACAAGACTCCATGTCTCAACAACAACAAAAAAAAAGAAAGAAAGAAAGAAAGGAAAAATGAAGGCATGGAAAACAATTTCTTGTTAATAGCTCACTTGGTATTAACACTCTAAGTGTATATGAGAGCACAGACATAGAACTCAGTTATTCACAATTATACTTTTATTAGAATGTTCAACATTCTAGAAAAGACTGTACAGTGAGCACAGAAATACACGTTTACTAAATCTTTAAAGATTAGGAATGTAAAAAGCAGTAATATAACCCAAGTTTTCATTATCGGTATCACTGCATTGTCATGCCACAACCACATATTTATACATAATCTTATATGAAAATATAGATTTTCACACATAAAGGACATATATGTAAAAATCTTAACTAGATACTTTTAGCAAAAGATTCTGGATAATTATTTAATGTGCAGTTTCCTCTCTTTAATATTCTGTTTCCCCACTCTCACTGGCTTTCTCTACAAATCTATTTAATCGTTTCATAATATTGGTTCTAGAAGTTGAAGGAGAAAGGACAAAATATACTGTTACATGGAGATGAAACATTAAAGTATCTGTTCCATCATCAGATAAAAGCTTGATGTTGTCTAGATGGCCCCTTCTTTTCTTTCCTGGGCTGACATTTTGGGATACCCTGTTTTGTATGAATAATACTGTGTTATTCATTCTGTATTTCCAGAACCATAA